CTGTTACAAACTTTTAATCAGATGTATTTTTGTACTTTTGATGAGAATTATCTTTTTTAATACTTGCATATTTATTAACCCAAGTGTTGTTTTAGCAGCCTTGGAAACAATTCTGCATTCTAAATTGCATAAATGTTTTTCTAAATCTATGTTGATATTTTTTGTCATTTCCACAAATGTTTTCTTCTTACTACTATGCCTCAAATAGTGTCTTATCTTCAATTTTTAACATAATTCTCCTTTATTTTTTCTCTTGGTAATAGGACGTAATTGGCATAGCAAACTCTCAATAATACATTTTAAAATTTTTCAACAGGTTTTTTGAGTTTTAATAATGGAGCTCCCAGAGTCTTAGTGTTTATGTGGCTCGTTTTCAATGAACAAATGAGGAAGTGTGGATATAACACAAGAAAGTTCAAGCTGCTTCTGTAGGCCCCAGCTCCCAAGTACTTCTCCGCACAGAAGCAGAGATGAAAATTCTGTTTGTTACTAAACTTGAGCATTGTAGCTCTTCTTTTTATCTGTTTATTGCTCACTTCTTAGAGAGGGTTTAGAGTTAAAAATAAAGGTGATGTAAGCAACTCTAACAGGTGATATGTAGTGTTTTATTAACAGCAAGAAAGCTTCTGCATGCATGCTGATTATAAATTGGATGCATGCTTTGCTTTACTTTTTCATGCATCTTCTTAACAAGTAGGGATCCCTTAATGTTATGAAATATTTCCATAATAAATATAAATCTTTGACAAGTTAGGCTCTTTGTAGAGAGTACAAAGTAGGATGTTCTTTTGGAAATTTCATGACCTAAAAGGTGACAAACAATGAAAATGTCCTATTACAGTACTTTTTGTTTTAAATATGTGCTTATTTTTGCTCTGAGAGTTTAGTGTGCAATTATTTTAAAAATAAAGAAGTTTTTTTTAAGAAAAATTGCAAACTCCCAATTTGGGTAGTTGAGGATTGGATTTCAGTAGAAATGCAGTCTCTTGTAGATTGGCTCTTACAGTGTATGCTTACAAACAAACAGAAATTCATGGCTGTAATTGCCTGTGTTGGTTGCATGTGACTGTATTGATGAAGAAAATGTCTGCCTTGATGTGGTTATTTTGCTTTCTGCTAGACCTATTCTTTAAAAAGGCTTATTTTTATATTGACTGTGATGTTGTGTATATATACATTTATAATCATATGCAAGTTCTACTTACTACTAAAGAGGATATTTAGGTATAAGGACTTGAATGTGCCTAAGACATCAAGTTCCAAGGTACTCCATGCAGTTCTTGCTATGAATATGACCTGTAAAGTGCTCCTAAAACAGCAGGGCCATCTCCGTGTGTGGCAGATGGATGAAATGGGAGTGGGGGACGTGCTGATTGCAATTGAAGCGCTGAAAAGTTGCGGTTCAGCCGTGGCGATTGCTCCATGTTTTGTCTTGGTCCTCTGACATCGCTGTCCTTGTCTCTCTCTTGTCTCTGCTTTCCCATTATGCCATTGGCAAGGAGTTGAGGAGTTAGTCCATTACTTCTGTGATAAAGCGTGGTACAGTACAACTTCAGATTTCTTCCCGTCTCCTCCTCCCACGTTTTTGCTGTTGCTTTTGCCCCGTGCATGATGCATGTCTCGAGGGTTGTGCATGCAGTTCTCGATCCCTCGTTGCATCCCTGCCTTCCTCCTTAAAATATCAGAGGCAGAAAATAGCCTTCCTTCATTCAGCAGAGGCATTACATGGAATATATGATGCGATTAACTTCTTGATCAGTATAAAATGGTTTTATCTGTATATCTCAGTTGTTCAGTAAGTGTTCAGCATTGATGGTAAACATCTTCATGGGTATATTGACATTTTTGTCTGGATGATGCAACAGACATATATTCCAGAGAGAAATTATTTTATACTAACATGGTTGGGATTGTAATTTAGTAATTTTGCCTGGTGTATCAGAATGTGCAAATCTTCAAAGCTTTTGCCATTGCAGAAATACCTGTTTCTTTGCTTTGCAAAAAGGAACCTGTGCACAAGGCCTTCTGTCTGATGTACTTTCATTCTGGGGAGAACTAATTTTCCTTGGTTACGTAGTCCTAGATACTGGGGTCCTACTCTACCTTTTAGGAGCATCATCAAGGAGCACAAGTATTTTTGTTCCCCTGAACATTCTGTGCATTGGACAAAAATGTAAGTGTAAATGTTAGTATGTCAGTATACACCAAGTCACAGCCTCCTGGAAAGATCCAAAGTGCATTCAAACTAATGCAAGAGACAAAAGTTTTTAAGACTTCCATGGAATGAAATAAAATATTATTGTTGCAGGAAGGTAGAATGCTGCTTTATCTTCTATTCCCCCACCTCCTTATAACTAATCAACCCATCAAGTACTAGCCCTTCTGCCAGCTTTCTTTTTAACTAATAGTCTACTCTTACATTGGGATTTCCCTAAGCAAAGGAAAACTTCCGTATAAGGCACAGATGAAAGATGTGCCTGAAGATAACGATCTGCAGTGTTAAGTATCTTGTGAAGCGTTGCCTGTCTATTCTGAAAACTTTTTTTTTTTTTACTTTCTGTGTCATCTTGAATGCTAATGCAAGTAGCAATTTGCAGAGATTAAGTCTGTAATCATGATAATTGGACAAATTTTGGCTAAGTAGGAATCCCAAAATAGAAAGCAGAACTATATATAAAGCAATTTAGCTGCAGATGATACTCCAGCTTTAGTGTACTCCTCATATTTCTGAGAATGTAGCTGTTTTCTGCTTTTAAGATCCACATTATGGATCCTGAGCATCTTAGACCATTTAGATTGTGAAAAGTAAAGGAAGAAATAAGTTTAGTTTCTTCTGGAATTTATGAAGTTTTCATTTTAATATTCCTCTAACTAGGGTTATTTAACACCAAGTTTTGATTTTTGATGCTCAGATTCAATTTTTAGCTGCATTCTTTGAGACTGGCATTTAGAAGCCCTTCATAGGTGAGGGAAAAATTTACTAGTATTATTTTCCCATATTAGAATTTGATGTAATAACTCTTAGCTATAAACAAACCTATTTTTCTGTTTTCATTCTTGAAGTAGGGTTCGGAAACCCGCATTATTTGTTGCAATCTGCATGTCATAGTCAGGCACGTGTCGCTTGGGTTTCTCTGCTTGTTTTTAACAGGTTTGTTTTTACAGGCGAATTCTCAAAGCAGCCAACGAGGTTGGCTAATGTCTCTCTGTCAGTCCCTAACTTTTAGGAGGAAGGACAGTGAGTTATGTAACTTGTTATATTAACACTGAAAAAAAATGTCAGAAATCCCTAGAGGGTATGTATATTTTGTTAAGCTGTGTTTAACACCCAATATATTGAATTACTGTATTTAGTGCTTTCTTCTAGTCGGACTGTTTGGTTAAGGACTCACAAAGCTAGGTCAGGTTTGGCCACCTAAGGGAATGTGCATTACTCTTAAAATTTTGATCACCTTGCACCATTTAGTCTTTTTGTGCCCTTCCTTTTGCCCATTGAATATTCAGACAGCTCAATGAGTCTGTGCTTCCCTCCGTCACTTGCTGATGTCACTGGTACAACTTTGATGTTGCTCTTGCTTACAGGGAGGATTGCTGCACTCCAAGGGTAGGAAAAACGTTAGCAAATCAGAACTAGATCAAGAGAACTTGATTATTTCTCTTTTTACTATTACATATACTCGTGATGAAGAACTTCAGTGAAGATAGTTTTCACGGAGTAGTCGTCCAGCCAGGTAAAAGACGAAACCTCAGTGAGTGCTGAGGTGCTGCCTCAGTCTAGAAATGTGGGAAGGCTTTGCCACACACAGGTAGCACCACATATATATATATGTTGTTCTCTTCACAGAAGAGCTAAAAAGGCCAAAGAGATAATTGTCTTCCTTATTTAGATGTGGTGAACAGTGCAAGTCAGATTAGTTCGAAAAATTATTTATTTTTAACTGACCGTATTTCACTAGTAAACAAATGCTTTAAGCATATTAACTATGTACATGTAATCTATCAATTGTATCAATTTTAGAGTAAGATTATCTTTGTAGGAAAATTAGAAAATTATCCAAACTTGAAATTTGCTAGAATACGTAGGTAAAATATTGGTAAGTTTGGGGGCTTACCATACATTAGAAACCTTAATTCCTTCAACATCTTTCTGCCAATTTGAAGTGCAGAATGTGTTTGTCAAGCTAGGGTACATGTTAATCTGTCAAGCCTTCTTTTACAGGGAAGAGCAGAGGGGAAGAAAAAATAGAAATGACCCAGAAGAGATACCAGCAATTCTCTTGTCTAATACTAGAACCTCTCTCCTGATAAATTGCAAAATTCTCATTAAGTTACTTTTATCCATTGGTTATCAAGGTAGATGATATCTCTGACTTTGTGTGCTCTGTTGCACCACTGCTAAAGACAGTTTATCAGGTCATTTAAAAATTCCCCTCAAGACCAAACAGCTCCCTAGGGCTAGTCAGTAACCTGATGCAGCATTTGTGTCAAATATCCTGACCTCAGCAAGGCAAGGCAAGTGCCCGTAAATTCCTGGTGGTCCTTTCCTGCCCTTAAAGACATTTCACATTAAAAAGGTTGGGATAGCTACTCTGAGTAGGTAGTGCAAAGAAGATAAAAGATGGGTGCAGTTCAGTGGCTGTAGCATTTATTTGTTAAGCACTTCAATAAAAATTGATGGGTATTCATATGTCATTGTTATGCTGCACTGCAGAATAAAGCAAAACCATCAACGTAGCCTCCTTCATGTCCTTTGTTTTAAGCTCATCATTTTTTGTCTTTATTTTGGGTTGTGTATTTCAGTGCTAGTATAATTTTTTCCACCTAAGTCGTATTTGTTTGTGTCCCATGAACCATCTTGTGTTGCCTGAGTCAACTTTTTGATTTCTTTTTGTAAACGATATGCAGCCCTTATCAAGCGTTCAGTCAACGCACGCTGGGTTCAGAACGTGGATTTGGTTTTCTTTGCTTAATATATTGTTGTACTATTTTCTCTTTAACAGCCTCAAGTACTACAGCCTTCCAGCAGCCTTCCCAGTTCCACAGACCTCGCCCAGGGAAAACTAATAAAAATGCCACCTACCGAGGCCCACAGTGAAGATCCCAAACATCATGGTCTGCATGAAAATGGCAATCGTAAGAATCGCAGTGCTGCAAACGCATCTCCCTCAACTAGTCTGAATGAACTAAACATGCCAGTGAGTACACAGCTAAGCATAAAGGACGGGGCTGCACCGCACTTGGGAAATGGTAAAAGCGGAAATGCTGCAGGCCCTGCGGAGCTGCCTGGTCCTGGGGAAGGCTCCTGCTTCCAGCCTGGCTCCTGCTTGGTGCCATCCACACGAGCTGATGCTGGAGAGGTGCAGGCTGAGGTAGCTGTGAAAGGTCGGCCCCCATCCAGCAACCAGACTCCTCGGCCAAAGACTCTAGGAATTGCAAAGCCCCCAACTGCTTTAGTGCCTCCGACAGTGGCCGTGCTCGCACGATCTGCAAACCCTTCTGCTGCTTCCAAGGAGCCTGAGCTTCTGCCACCAAGTAGTCCGACCCGGCCAGAGCCAGCATCTGGTCTAACTAACCTAAAGGGTAAACAGAGCCAGAAAGTATCTAAACTTCGCCCCCCCACTACGTCCTTTGTTAAATCTAAGCAAACGAGCAGTCAGAAACCCGCACTGGTACCTCCCGAGCCTCAAAACCCCTGTTCAAAGACGAGCATCCCAAAGGCAGCGGTGCAAAGAAAGGAAAACGTGCAAATGCCGAGCAGCGGTTTGCCGTGCGGGGACAGCGCGTCCTCCGCTCGCCATTCCCGCCTCCCCAAACCAAAGACCCACTGAGCGGGCGCGCGCGCCTCGCGCCGCAGGATGCCGGAGCTGGCCCGGCCTCGCTGCCCTGCAGGGAGTGCCCTTGCCGAGGCCGCTCTGCCTGCGTCGTGCCGAGCCCGGTGGACATTAAAGCCGCGTCCCTCGTGTTGGCGTGTCGCGTTCTCCTGCGCTGTGAGCTTCTCGTTGGCGGCCGCCCGTGCGTGTTGGGGTACGCGGTAGCTCTGCGCTCGCGGCTCTGCTGCCCGCTGCGGCTCTCAGTGAAGCAGAAACTCCAGTCCGTGGCGACCGCAGCGCTGGGACGCTGCACTAGGTGTTTCAGGACGGCAGGAATCTGTTGTTTTGCGTCATTAGACAATGAAATTGCAATTCAGTCTAACTTTTTGGTTCTGACTGCTACTTAGGTTAGAGTGGTGGAAAATTAAGAGTTAGTAGCAGATGTTTTTATTGGCCATAATTTTCACTCTGTGTTCCAGAGGCCTATGCAAAATCCTTCTATTTATCAATATCTAAAGACTGACATATTTAATGTTATTTAATCTGATGGGTTAGGAAGGTTTTTTGTTTGTATTGCTGTAATTATGAAGTTGGTTTTTTTTTCTTTATTTATCCGGTTTTCGCGGTTCACAGACGGTAAGCAGATTTCACGGGGTGAAACAGGTCTCATAGACATCATGAATTTGTTGTGACGTTGTGGTGTGCTTTTACTGTGTTGAATAGCCACGTCATTGGGTAAACTGTTGAGACGCAGTGCTAAGGAAACTTGTGCAAAACCTGCCAAAGCAGGCTCTTGGGATTGGTAAGCAAAGAGCCTCTGGGAATAGGGGGTCCATAACACCTATGTAGAGGTTGCACAACATGCATTTTAATTAATATTTTTATCTTTTAGCGTGCTACTTGTATTTATTGATTTATTCTTGAAAGACTCTCAAGTACCTGACTTGAAATGTTTGCACAAAGTCCTGCCATATATGTAAAATTGTGGAACTATTTTATGTAACAAAACTTAGTTTAAGAAAGCCTCTACTAAAAAAAGAAAAAAAAAAAAACCCCACACCTGTTTGCTTTGAGCAATCCTGTTATGAGCTGGTACTCTAAGAGTTTTTCAGAGATGTGTATTTTGTTTGGGGTTGTTTCCCTTTTTTTTTAATTTTTTTTTGTTTTTGTTTTTGTTATTTCTAAAGTGGTGCATGATAACTGGGAAGGAGCTTTTGGGGGAAATAAACAAAAAAAAACACCGTTTTTGCTCTCTAGGAAAACTTTTTTTTTTTATTTTTTCTTCCTGCAAGTGTCTGGAAATACTTGCCCACCCTGGTGCACCCGTGGGCCCGTGACACACGTGCTGTGGGTTGGCTCTGTGGTGTCCCGTGAAGCGTGCTCGAGCCTTGGCCTTCTGTCCCATCTCCCCCTCTTCCCCATCATTGTCTCTTGGATTTGACTTTTTTCTCCACTCCTTAAATTGGTTTTAAAATCATTAGCATAACTATATATGATAGTTTGTCCTAGGCTTTGGCTATGTGTTGTTGACATGATTCTTTTCTTTGAGTGAATAGGTGTAGACATTCCATAAATATGCTCAATAATCAACTTTTGGACTGTAAGGACTTTAAGCAGGGATAGATAACCTCGTTGGAGGAGAGAAGGAAAAGAAAAGATAGGAGTTGTATTTCTCAGTGCGTAATTGATGTCCAAGGAAATTTCAGCTTTCTCACTGGTTTTCACCTAAGGTCAGGGAGCAAAGAGGTGTGAGGGGGACGGATAACGGGTGCTTCAGAACTGGCTCTGCTTCTGGGAGCTGCAGGACCTCTGGGATTGGGAAGGGAGGGAAAGAGGGACTAAAGCAAGAAATGACAAGGGCAGCGTTAGTTGTTGCAGTTACTAAAAGATCAAAATCAATATGAGGTGAGATGACTGTTGGAATTATTCTCTAGGAAAATGTCTTTCCTTGGAAAGCGTTGAAATGGATGGCCTATGTCCAGAATCAGAGTAGACTTCTACTTTCGGTAAGAAAATAAAACTGGCTTTTTATATTCCCCCAAATTAGCTCCTGGCAGCTGACTGTATTTCTCAAAAGTGTAAAAACTGCTGAGGGAATGATAGGATTCCTGGCTCATTTTCAGGTCCATATATATTTCTATAGAAGGGTGTTTATTTTTTTTTTCTTTTTTAAAGTTTACTTTCCTTGAAGGGAAGGTGATTTTATTTTTAATTGCATATCGTTTTTTGTGCAGAAAGTTCATTGTCACTTCAAAGAATATTATTGACAGCGATGCTTCACCATGAGTCCTGTTGCTTCTTATTCTGGAGGCTTTCTGCTTTAGAGGTTTTAAACTTTTATGTTTAACTTGAAAAATATAGATATCTACCTGTCTGCACCTTTACTGACAATGTAGGAATGAAACAGAGCGACTATCCAGGGTTTCATAGATACAAAAAGGCTGGTTGTTTTCTTCTCTGGAAGAACAAAAATTATTTATTCTGCGGGTGGTTTTATGCTGTTGGGGAAGTGTAAGTAGCTGCTGTTCCTGGTGTGGATGTTTGGTCCCCGCTGTGCTGCGAGGGCCAGCAGGGAAGGCGAGCGGAGGGGAAGGCGAGCGGAGGGGAAGGCGAGCGGAGGGGAAGGCGAGCGGAGGGGAAGGCGAGCGGGCGAGCGGCCCCGGCGCCGCGCTGCCTTCTGGCAGGGTCTCCTGCACGTGCAGCAGGTCCGGGCGCGAGCAGAGCTGGTCGGCACGCGGGCAGCGGGAGGAGAGGCGGGAAGGGAGAGCTGGAGCACCGCTTGTCCGCAGGAGCGTGCGGGAGGGACGGCGGTGCCGGGGCGAGCGGCTCCGTGGGGTTCAGTGCGTGGCCCCGCATTTGCCGTCAGCACTGGTGCTGCTCATCCCAACTGCGTACGTGAAAGGATTTGTTATCTGCCAATTTTTTAGGTTTCTAAAAATGGTTTATTGCAGATTTTTTATGCTTTTGATGTCTCATTCTTTTGTGCAATATTCACGGAAGTATTAAACTACTGTTCAGTATGTGTGTACAGAGGCAATTATGTATTTTAACAAGTGAATAAACACAAAAGAAGAAAAACAGAATTGCACTTTAAAATGAGCTTTATTGCTTGGAGTTGTGCCTAAATAATCTAGATGCCTCCTGTTGTGTGTGTGGCTTTTGTTTGAAACTGACTTCCCTGCTAGTATTGCCGTTTCCAGGATTCCCTCACATCACTTTCACAAAATTCATACACACTCTAGCATGCTTTAAAAAAATCATGTAGTGTACTGAGTTTTGTTGTGCAATGACTTTAAGAGTGGAATTTTAGCACCGATGATGCAGCCAGATTACCTTTCCCTTCCCTGAAACTGGCACTTCATAGGTCCAGTCAAAGCCAAGGACAGAAATTTCACAGTCCTTAAAGAATCATGTTCCTTGCATATTTTTTTTTTCTGTTAAAGCAAAGTGCAATAATAATTCCTAGACTTTCTTTAAATAATTATAAGGCCCTGAAAAATGAAAAACTGCACTGAGTTTTCTGTTTACTTCAAAAAAGTGGGTTCTTGAACTTGCAATGTCCTAACAGTGAGGTTAGACATAGTAGCTAGGCTGTATCATAGGTCAGTCCAGTTAATTTCACCCTTGGTCTAAGCGCGGATTTGTTGTAACGATGCTGGAGGGCTGAATGCCGGTGGTGTGGTTTCCTTGGCTTGCATGTCACTGCCCATAGCACGTTCTGCAGTGTCCGTGCTCTGCGTGTAGGCTGCCTGTTTGGGAGGGCAGGTGGGACAAACCCTTCAGTTCTGCACTGCACACTCTTAGGTGGACTCTCTTCTTGGCCATGCAGATGGAAATCCACTCTCTAATGGGGCTTCCACAGCAACCCGTTCATGTATATAGCGGCTGCTTCTGAGCAGAGTGGGTTTAATACATGACCCTGGTGGTAGGGCTCAGTTTTATAGTAACCTTACAACTCTGTTATCAAGGAAATTCAATCACTCTTGTGGTCAAGCTGCTCACTGCCTACTTACCTGTAAAAGCACCACAATAAAAATATAATTGCAGTGTCAGTGAAGTCTTAAATTCAGTATTAGCTTAAAAACAAACAAGAAGTACCCTTAGTTATCTGCATTGTTGTGATTTTTTTTTCTTTATTATTTTTTTAACCAGGCCAGAGTAAATAATGTATATTGGAATTTGCGTGTAAAGTTGATTTGAAAAACTGTATGTAAAGAATTCTTTCTTCAATGTTGCTCTAGTGAATAAAAGTAACAATTCTAATAAGTATCTACTTCTCCAGAGCGTTCATCTTATTTTTGCTTTATTCCACTGACTGTGTATAACTGCAGGACTATCAGGAGGAGGTCATTTGGGAGGGGGAGCCTGTGTTTACACTTAAATTATGTTTTTCATGGAATTCTCTCTTTGTCCAGCAGACTTGCATGCTTGTTTCCTCCATGACTTTTAGCATACAAGTGCTCTAAAAAAGAACAGAGAGATGGAAAAACCACCTTGCACTGTTGTTTCTAGGTGAACAAGGGACTGGACCGATCGGGTTCACCTCCTAATGCAGCATCGGAGAGAAAAGAAGGGTATTTCATAGAGTTTTCTGATGTATTTAACTAAAATCATTATTGTGAGAGACAACTTTAACCTGATTATTTCCCTACAGGAGTCCAAATGTCTCAACAGCCTGGTGAGCAGGGGTTGAGGTGCTGGCGCGGTGACAACCCAGTTGCCCACGGCCTCTTCCTTGCGTTGCCTGCTCTGGCGGGAAGGGACAGGCCCTGGTGGCGCCGAGGGCCGGGAGCTGCGGGAGCTGCTGGCGCCGGGGGAGACCGGCCCCGCGTGGAGCACGGTGTGACCTGCGGGAGCCGGCGTTGCACGGTGGGAGACTCCCCGTGCTCACCCCTTTGGAGCCCAGAATTAGCACCCCTGCAACCTCTCCTGGTTGAGGAATGGTCTGTTGCCCTGCATAATAGACCAGGAAATCTGCCTGTGGATGTTGGCCTTGATCACTCCCAGGGCAGATAAAAATCTGGAAATTTCAAACAATTTGAGTAAATGTTTCCCTCTGTCACCACCTCTGAAAATCACCTTGCGTTGCTGGAAGAATTTAAATTTCATAGATGTTGGATTTTAAAACTTACTAGAACGCAAGCTTCAGAAATACCCCAAATCGGTAGGCATTTGAAAACAGTTGTGGAGATGGGACACAGACCACCTACTTCACTCGCATTTTCTCCAGTAGAAGTCGAGGAATGAAGTGGTACAAGAGGTTTCAGTGGAGCTACATATCCTGCTGGAATGGGGTTCTCCTGGTACCGCTCAATCAAACACAGTAGATCTTGATCTGAAGACACCTGATTCGTTATTGTCTTGGTTACTGCGGCTAGAGAGTCCCCAGAAAATCGTTATGTGGATTTCCCCTATTTTCTTAGGATGAACAACATGAGCCTGTATACACAGGTAAGTCTTTAGGTGGTGGTAAGTTCCATTAATTTACTTGTATCACAAGTATAGGGTGATACAAGCCTGTGAGTGCTTGAAGATCTATGAGTCACAATCCGGTAAAACTTTGGTGTCTTAGTATCGAAGCCAAGTGACTCCTACAGTAAGTAACTCTTTATTTTAATTGCTATTCAGCCTGACAAACTGCAGGACCTGAAATTCTCTATGCTAATTATGCAATCCTACTTTTAATTTGTGCTCTAGTTTCCTCATACGTGAAATGGGCATAATAACAGTGTTTCTTAGCAAAGTCAGGATTTGGAAGGCTCTGTGCTAGTAGAATAACGAAAATTCACTGAGGAAATGGATCCTGCTGTATTTTTTGAACATTTCTCAAAAGCCAGAACTATACTGGGGAGGCTCAAAAGTTTATGGAGGAGGGGGAAAAAAAAAAGCCAAACACCCTTTAATGTAACTCCTTTCAGGGCAGTTTTCACAGTTTTCCCTGAACTTTTACCTGTACCAGAAGTGGTGAATTTCCCTGTTACCAGAGTCCCCAGCAGTTAATTGCAGGGGCTCCCTGACAAAGGAGGGAAAACAAGTACTTGATTACTTGATAAAACAGTAGTAGCAAAGCAGCGCCTACTGCAAGACACACAGCAGAAGGCTGTCAAGCTGAGCTGATCCTGTCAGGATCTGAATTTACGTTTCTAAAATGTCTATGATGTTCAACCCATATGCTTATCAACAGTTATAGGTTTAGCTGTACCACAGAGGGAAGCTTAATGATGCACAGGCTCCTTGTTAACGATACTCCGTGCGTCTTGCGCTGGTGTTCAGCTGCTTACTGCAAGAGAGCTAAGGTCCACGCGCAAGCGCTGCATTAATCACTGGTGACAGCTTTGTTTGTGGCATTTCTGGGACAAGCTCAATGGGTGTATTTGTATTTTGGTGTATCTGTATTTTGCATTTTAACATGCAAAGAGGTATTGGCTTTAAAATTCTTTTTCAGTCATTTTTAGGCTTTGATACTGTTAATTTTCTTATCTGATTATCTTCGGAGTTATGTAATATTGTCCGTCTTTCGTAGGCGAAAGGAGGTAATAGATCATTTTCCGCAGGTTAGCATTAATTTTTAACCCTGCTGACAGCTATGCTGCCTCACCTGGGCACTCGCACAGTGTTTCCAAAGTGTGGCCCTGCAACGTACCTAGGTCAGGTATGAAGTAGCTCGGGTGTGAAAAGCAGGCGCTAAGCGTGAGCAAGACAGAGCCCGGGGGCACCCCGTGGAGCAAGCGGCCCCGTGTCTCCATGCTTGTCTCCGTGCTCGGCCTCCGGCGCTGGTTCCTGCCTGCCCGGCTAGCGGATGGTTGGCGCTTCCTGCGTCACTGGTCGCGGCTCCTCTGGCGCGCAGCTCGCAGCAGAGGGCACTGCAATGCAAGGAGCTGCAGAGCGGCCGCCGCAGCCCTCCCTGCGGCCACAGCGGCCTCCGCACACACACACAGCCTCTGTCCTTGGCTTTAAGGGTGAGCACCGAATGAAGCAATACTTAACATGTGTGTGTGTATATATATAAAACATATAAATACATATATACTTTGTATAGTGATCAGGAGCACCATCTCTCAGCTGAAATAAGGCACCATCTTTTGGAGGGGTGGAGGAAGGAAGAATGACATCGACAACCTCAACGGAAGCCCC